TAATGTAGGCGCCGCGGCCCCCGCCCCCACCCCTCCGGACACCCCCGGGAGATGTTTACAGTAATGAATTCGCGGGATCGCCTCCGCCGCTCCCGCGCTCCTCCTCTCCCTCCGTCCCTCGCGCTCTGGCGCGCTCCCCTCCTCGAACCCTCTTGCTCTCCCTCCCTCCCGGAGTCCCTCCCACTTTTCTGGTTTGAAGAATGCTTGGGAGGCGCGGCTGCAACCCAAACCTTTCCAAGAGGCAAAGTCAGACTTGGCTTTTAACCCTGTCGTCTCTGAAAAGAATTGCGGAGCGCCGGGCCAACGCCGCGGACGCCACCCCGACCCAGCGCGCCGCTTCCCTCTCTGCCCGGCACATAGCCCTCCCTACCCCCAACTTTGAGGGATAATGCCGCCATCCGAACCCCGAAATGCGATTTCCCTAGTGCCTTCCCAGCGTACTTCCAGGCAGGGAGACCTATTCCTTAGACACTGAGAAATGATCGAAACGTGAAATTAGAGGGTCAAAATAGAGCGAGACTCTCAACCAAAATGGCGTTATTTCAAATGCAGGCAACCTTGGAGATGTGTGCCCCCACTTCTCAACCCATCACTAGTTTCTTTATCCCGGATCTTTTTATATAACTTTAATTGGTAGACAATCCAAAGTTTAAGATGATCATTTTAAACACGCCGATGTGCGCCTTTCACCCCGGCTGCTGCTGTTAAGAAAGAGCGTGGTTCAATTTCCCTATAGATTGCAGTGGACGGCCAGGGATTCAGCCTAAAGATTTAGGACAGGCTTGACAGCAAAGAAGCCTAATCTGTATACGGGCAAGAATTGCACTTCGCAATCTCTTTGCAAAGGTTAAAGAGCAGGTAAGAAAACCAGGTGTACGTCTCTTTCTTGGGAAGTCGTGGGGAAAGCGGGGTCTGGGTTTCTCATCTCATTTCATTGCTGCTCCTACTGCCTCCAGTAAGTTGCTGTCATGTTTTCACAAGTACGGAGAAAGACTGGGTCTGAACAGAAGAGGGAGAACGAGCCCGCGCCAAGCGCTATCTACACGGAGACGCGCCGTCGGTGGAGTCACGCGAGACGCTCTCGGCGACTTTAAAGACAGCCCAAGACTAACTCCCTAGGGATCCGCTCGGCTCTCGGGGCAGCAGAGTTGGACAGGGCGGTGCCCGCGACCGACTGAAGATGATTTCCGGACGCACCCCAGTCGAGACCGCACTCCTCGTCCTCAGTTCAAAGCCTTGAGTCACTTGGCACCACTTTCCCAATTGTTTTTATTTCCTTCGCATCCCGCTTGTGTCTACGGTCTTTAGGTTTCTGAGCGCCTAAGTCATGTTAAGACTTGGAGAAACGCCCGATTTGCCTGCCAAGCCACGCACGGATCCACCCAGACGCGCGCCCGTGCGGAACTGCACGCTGGCACGCACACACACACACACACACACACACACACGCACACACACGCACACTATCCGGTCGGTGCGCGCGGGTTGCTGTTTCAGTTGCATGATGCAAAGGTGGCCAGGAAAAGGCTTTGCCTTACGCACATATAGCCCATCTTCTCCCCAAACACAGCGTGTGACTAAAATCTGGGGGAGGAGGGCGCGCGGCTGGGGGCGCTAGTCGGATGGGAACAGACAGTGAGTGCCATCTTGCTGGGAGGTTCCGGGAGCAAAGCGCCAACTACAGCAGCCGCGGCCTCAGTCTCCATCAGCAACTGCCGTCGGCCGGAGTCCCACGCGCTCCAGGACTTTCCCGGGCGTTAAGTATGGGTCCAGCCTGCCCTCATCTCCCTGTTCCCCTAGGGCTTCCTTTTTCCCTGGTCAGTGCCGGAACCTCAACTCCGCAACCTCGATTTTGAGCCTGTTTTCAAAGGAGAAGTAACCGTGCCAGCGCTAGTCAGCGCGGCGGAGGGATTTTTCTAGGAGGTCCCGGGTGCCCGCGGAGATGCGGGGGCAGCTGGCAAGACCGGGCTCCAGCCACCTTCGCCGGCTTCCTCTCCCTGCCTTTGGCGCCTGGGGGCGTTCTCCGCCCTCTCCCTGCGTCCCACGCACGCAGCTCCGCAACGTTGTCTGGGTTCAGTATCCTGCGCTCTCCGCGCCTCCGCCACTCGGCAGGCACGCCAGGACGGTGCAATGGCCTCAGGGCAGTGCCCGCCAGCCCCGGGAGCATCAGTAGGGCGGGAAAGGGACTCGGTTTTGGAGAAAGCAACCTCCCGCCCCCTGACTCAAAGGAAAACGAATTAGTATCCAGCGCATCTGCTTAACCGCGAATCGATCCTGGATTGCGGGCAGGGAGCCGGCTGGTGCCCTCAGATACAACCGCTTGATAATAACACTTGGTGACATTAACAGCCCATGGTGGGAGGCGGGTGGTACTCAGGGAAGTTAAGAGATTGATTCGGGGGCAGAGACTGGGTTCCGGCAAGGCTAAGGGCTCTGGAAACCCCAATTTAAGATCAGTGCTTCTAGAGGACAAACAAATTTGCATTTTGACCCAGGGTTCAATGACAAAATTCCTTAGAAGAGGTGGATTGGACCTGCAGACAGACGTCCCTAAAGTCAAGGGAGAGCAAAGCTGCCCGTATTCTCTCCGAGTGAAAGACAAAGCTTAGAACACTCCACCCGGATGGCCACCCTCTGCTGCTTAAAAAGAAAAAGAAAAAAGAAAAGAAAAACAACTTCCCCCAAAGTGCCACAGGGGTTCCCTCGTAGAGCGGTAGCTAGGGCGTTTGCTGGAAACTTCACCTGGCACCGCAGCCCCTTTACCTGGTGGCCGCGTCTTCTCCTCGCAATCGGCTCATCCGAATCCGACAGGGTCAGGGAGGTGGAAAGGGAAGAAGCTGGCGCGGCAGCAGCGGGGCTCCCGGGGCATGGTATTGTTTTAGGGGTCGCCGCCGAGGTCCCTCCTGCCCATCGTTGAGAACTATCACCCCGGTCTCGGGGCTCGGTGGACACGGCGGCGGACGCGGAGGTGCCGCCTGGTCGCCGCTGGCCGCCCGGGACGGAGGACCGGAGGCGCACCTGGGACCGGCGCGACGGTGGCAGGCAAGCTTATTATCCCCGCGCGCTGGTTCCTCCGCGGTGACAATGGATGGTGCCAAACTCGCAAGTGACGGCGACAGGTTTCGAACGTACAACTAACTATAAGGTACCCAGCCCGAGACAGTAAGCTGCTTTTTCCCTCCCCCTCCTCTCCCTCCTACCAGAGAGGGAACGGACTTAACCCTGTGTGCGCCCTGCACTCCCCGGAGAAGCTGGAATCGACTCGGAAACCGCAGGCGGCAGCTCCGGGGGCGAGAGCCTTGCTCACGTGCGTTCGCAGCTGGTGTGTGGCTGTCTAGGGGCACTCGCGTGGCAGGACGCCAGCGGCGGCTTCCAGCGCCCAGACTCCAGGATGGGAAGGAGCCCTAGCGTTTCATCCGGACGCAGACCCAGCCCTCGGAATCTATTTTTTGCCTCCAGTTACCGGATTTATGGAAGTTGCCAGCGAAGTTGGTTTTTATTCCTTTACTTCTCCGCCCTCCGCCCCCCGAATGACTTCCTTTCCTAGCTGCGCTTTGAAGATTGGGAACTCCTCGCCCTCTCTAGCTCTAGCTTTTAACTGTGTTGCGTGTGCGAGACGAATTGGGGAGGGCGCCCACCCACCCGTGCCAAATGTCAATGAAACCTCGAGAAAAGCTGCCTCCCACCCACCTTAAGGACACATTCAAACAACTAAGACTAAGACACCGGAAAATGGGGGGGTGGGGTGGACGAGGGAGTTTGATATATGAATGGGAAATGGGGAGGGAGAGGAAAGAGTGAGCGTGAGAGACCGAGACAGAGATACAGAGACACACACAGATCGGGAGAGAACCTCATAATGGAATGAACAGGGGTCACCCGAACAAGACTGACGGTTAAAGGAAGAAGAAAACTAAGTCCCAACACTGAAATCAGTCGATCAGCTTTTAGACGCCTACAGTTTGATCGGGCGGTATTGCCCCAGTTCCGTGCGAAGTGGTTAGAGAACACCGGAGCCTCTGCCATGGCCGCTCAGATGCTTTGCATTGTGTAAGCGGTTTTGACTAAGCGTCCTGGACTCCCAAGAAGTTAACTGGAGTTGGAGGCGAGTCATCTCGTGGACGCCGAATGGAAGCTCTGATGAGAGAAAACTGTCAGCAGAGCGTCGCTGCTGCCACCCTCACACCCAGACGAGCCAGGACGTCGCTCAGAGCGCAAACTCAGATCCACACGCGGACATCTTCAGCTGATTCCTTCTTCCTCCGTCTCCATTCAATTGAGGAACGAAAGGAAGAGAGAAGGAAAGGCTGAGCCTTTATAAATCGTTCGGAGAGTGACACGTGGATCTTGCCGAAACTGGGGTATATAGAAAAGAGAAAGTGTGTTTTCCACCAGATCGATGGTCTAATGAATGTCTCTCTGCAGCAGACCCAAGCCCATGGGCATCAGTAATGGCCATTTCCAGTACCTCTCGGGGCCCGGGCACCCCACCGAGGCTACGGGAACGCTGCTTGCAGCTGTGTGTGCTGAGAGAACTCCGTTGTAAATCCTTCTGGGTTGCCAAGGTGGCAGCAGAGCATAGGAATAGTTCCTCAGTCTCCAGCCTTAAAGGAGGAAGATCACGTTTTAGGACAAATACTCATCTACTTGCTTTTAAACATCCATTTTCATATGTAAGTGTCCTTAAGTCTACACAGGAGGTTGATCCGCGATAGCAGCATAATTATCTCATCTTTAAGAACACAATTTTTAAAAAGACAAAATGGAACGCTGTGCAGATTTCACTTTTTGATTTACACAGCTAGAAAAAGAAAGAGATCAAACAGGGGGTAGGGGTGTTTGCAGATGTGAAGAATTTATACATTTTAAATTATGACTGTTTCTAGACTATAAGAAAATCGTATTATGAGTATGTGATCCCTAGTAAAGACTAATGGTACAGTTATTTTATTCAGGACAAAACAATTAAGTAAAGAAAGTTATCACACCAAATATAGGAGCAAAATCACGGTAATAAATTTCTTATTCACATGACCTGTGAGTCAGCTTAGAAATGTGTCATAATGGGGTCAGAGGAAGCAGAAGAATGGCAAATGTGGTTCAGAGACTTCAAGGTGCAGTAACTTTGCAGATTCACAAAACTATGATAATTAGTTTACTTTGTTTTTATTAAGAAAATCACTCATACAGAAGGGTAGAGAGGTGGGCCAAAGAGAAGCAAAAAGTCAATCTGTGAGTTTCAAAAACCAGGTCAGCTCATTAGTTATTCTGAAGACTTCAGTCCTCAAAAGAGTTATCATTTCAGTTGAAATTTAATTATCTCAAGTTCTTTATCCCACTCCCATGTCTCTTGTATTATTCCTCATTTACGCACATACATACACGTTCACATCTAATATGTGGTGAAAATAAATGTAAGATGGTATCTGGATGATAAGACAAGATTTAAGCTTGTGGCACTAACAGTTTTGATCTTGGGTAAGTTCTGATCTGAGCCTCTGTCTCTTCATTTGTAAAATGGACATTAAAAAAAATTCCAGTCTTACCAGCTTTATAACATTGTCTCATCATAAGTCAGTATATGTGAAAGTGCTTTGGAAATTTGGCTTATCCCTAATGATATTATATTACATTATATAACCCCAGACTTCAAAACGCTGATATAAAACATGCTTATGTCAATTTAAACATTGTCAGTTACCCCCAATTATTATATCAATCTAAACATTGTCAGTTACCCCGAATGTTATCCTTCCTCTTGCTTTACCTGGGAACATTTATCAAAACTAAGAAGTTAATATTGCTTTTAATGAAACTCCAGACTTTACTCATATTTTATCAGTTTTTCCACTAATATCCTTTTCCTGTTTCAGAATCCAATCTTGGGTACTACATTGTCTTTAATCATCATATCTCCTATGGTTTGTACAGTTCCTCGGTTTTTTGTTGTTTGTCATGAATCTGAGATTTTTGGGAAGTAATGGCCAGATATTTTATAGATGTTTATCACTCTGAATTTGTCTGATGTTTTCTCATGATGAGACTTTATTTAGGGATCTTAGGAAAAAATATTAGAGGTGGAATGCCTTTTTGATCACATCATGTCAGGCAGTACATGATATTAACCTGATATCACTGATGATGTTAACACTCTCTAAGATATTTTGTACCAAGTCCAGCCTACCCTCATAGATTTAGAATTTTAAAATGAACAAAATAAGCAACCAGTGTGACTTGTAACCACCCCAATTTCAACTTCACTTAGGAATAATCTTCCATGAAATTTCTCCTATATAGATTTAGGAAAATCCTCCTATATTTCCTTAGGAAGATGCTCAACTAGTTCCTCTGGCTATATATTTGGGAGCTATTTTCAACGAATCTGTGTTTTACAATTTCCAAACCTAGTCATTCTTCAAATCTTGTTGAATTTTTTAGAAATGCTGCCTTCTTTTCTATTCCCATGGCCACATCTTCGGGTAACTCAAAACTCCAAATCCCCTATAAAAGATGCTATCCATTACCTCCTAGCCTTCTCTCCCTTTCATAATTTTTCTCAAGTGTGGTGCTCATTTTATTCTCCCTTGAAGTGCTGTTAGCTATCTGCATGTTTAACTCTTGCTTAGATCTTATTGTCTCAAAGAATTAAGTTGGCTTCACTGCTGTAGTCTCCTAGTTTCCGGTATAGTGCTTTTCACCATGTTGTTGCCCAAAACATGCTTGTTGACTTCCCAAATCATCTCCTCTGACAGGTAGAGAGAAACGTATCATTTTCTGACATGAGGACCATCTTGAGAAAATCTATGCCTGGCACACCGTGGAGAGATGGCTTCTCTTTTTTCTCATGACTTTAAAATACTCCTAACCTTAGCCTTTATTGACATTAAACTGTGACTTTGAAATGCGTGCTCTTCTAATTTTGAAGCATCATGCTACAGTACATAGTTCATCCATTCATCCAACAAACATTTGAGAAAGGCCCATGATGAATAGATTCAGTCCCTATCCTGTAAAAACTCAGTCTAGTGGTGACACATACACAAATAATTATACACTCATTAGGGAAGTGCAACAATTTAGGTATGTGCAAAGTACTTTAGTGCCCTGAAACAGATTGTTTCTAGAGTGAAGGTCTCATTCAAGTAATGATGAGGCTCTTTTGACAATGTACTAGTTTTATAGGGGACTCTGTGGCATTATTTTTAATCCAGCTCTCTGCATACCGCAACTCCAGTTACTGGAGTCCCCATTACATGGAAAGCCCTTTGGGCCAAACATTGGAAAATCAGTGTGGAAGTAATTGCTTGAACATCCATTTCTCCAAGCCTTGGTTTCTTTGCCTTCCTGGGCAGGTTACAAGATGATTATGCGTGAACAAAAACAGAAGGTACACACTGACTGGAAACAAAAGCACGTTAAACCATGGAGATTTCCTCTTACATAAACCTGCTGTTTGTTAAGCAGTAGCTCTCTGTTCCGAAGGGAAGCTGGCAAAAACTTGATACAAACATTATCCAACAGCGCTGGGAGGAATGAGAGAAGGGAACGCCTTTTTAAAAAGGGTATAAAAAGAGATAAAAGATCTACCAGGGAATTACTCAAATCTAGACACTACCATTGTAGAAAATGTAACTGAATCTACCAGTATCTAACTACAGCTCTGATGTAGAGAGAAGTGACTCTTTAAACTGAGAAAGCACAAACGTGCATATAAGATCCTGAATTAGTACTGATATGTATTTTCTCCCACTACCTATCACCATATTAAAAAAAATTGTACTTAAAAGGGCAGAAACAGTTTTCAAGACTGCCTTTTTTCACAAGAATGTGCAATACACATTTGCACAATTACAAAAACTCTGAGCTTGGACTTGGGAGATTTCCACTTAATCAGGGAAATCACTTAATTGCTCTGAGTCTCAGGATCCCTTCTGTCAAATAAGAAAAGCAAAACTAATCCTGCCTTCCTGAGTAGATCCATAAAGATCAAGTGAGGAGAGGTATTTCAAAGCTCAAAATAAGAAATAAGCTGTCATTTAACAATGGATATAGGGGACTCAGAAGGGGGAGGATAGGGAGGTAGAAAGGGAGGGATAAAAAATCACCACCAATCAGGAACAGTGTGCACTAGTAGGGGTGGTGAGTACATTTAAAGCCCAGACTTCTTCACCACTATACAGTTCATCCAGGTAACCCAAACCATCTGTATGCTAAAGCTATTGAAATTTTTAAAAAATTAGATAAAAGAATGCACTG